ATCTTCAACCGCGTTTGAATGATAACTAATTAAATGAAAAAGGGTCAACTACAACGTCTGCAACACCTTTGAATGCAAAAGTTTGTTGGCTTTTTTTCTCTATTCCGTATCTGTAATTGCTGAGGACACGAAATACTCAGTACGATCTAAGAAAGGTATAAATTCCTCATCTACACTGTCTCCTGGAAAAAATCCCCACCATACATCTTTTCCTTTTCGTTCTAATTCTTCATTTTTTGAATGTTGTTTCTAGGGCAATGACATGTAGGTATAGTCCATTTGTTATTACTGTTCCGATATGTAATTAACGCCACTAAATGCAGCGTTATTTTTTTCTACCTCACGTCGTCGATTTAAACATAAACAATTCTATCAAACAAACTGCAACGCGTTATTGTTAACGTGCAGAATAAACAAAGTAAGGTACCGCAACGGTTAATCGATTCTAGATCGTATTGCTTACGTCAAATAATATTAATTGAACTGAATTTCGCTTACATCCAGTTTTTATTGACAGCAATGTTGTTTACTTGATGCCATGCCATTCAAGCGAAATTCACTTCAATAAACATTCTTTAACGTAAGCGATACGAGCTAGAATCGCTTAACCGTTGCGATACCTTACTTTGTTCATTCTTATTCTGCACGTCAACAATAACGCGTTGCAGTTTGTTTGAGAGAATTATTTATATTAAATCGACGACGTGAAGTAAAAAAAGTTAACGCTGCATTTAGTGGGGTTAATTACATATCGGAATAGTAATAACGGATGGACTATACTATTAGCTGTTGATGCTATAAACAAGTATAAAAATTTCCTAATAGAAATTCTTTCGCAATACTCTTTGACTTATGCTATAAAATAAAGTTGTATATTATACACCACGATAAAGGAAAACTATCCATCTCGTGAAAGTTAATTCACTCGTGGCGCACTCCTGAATCTTTCACTCAATGGTTAATATATCCCTTTATCGTCTTGTATATTAACTATTAACTTACTGGGTTTACAAGTAATTGCTATAAAATTTTGTCTAGGCACTTCGAATACGTTTAATTCTCCGATAAAGATCTAAATCGGGCGAATTTCACTCCAGAGCATTTTGACTACCAAAATATATTAATCACAAGCCTCTGTTTCGTTTTAAATATGCAATATTGCAGGAAAAATTTAATCCAAAATCCGAATCACAAAATATGTAACTAATAACTTCAATGTGGTTTAATTGAGCAGTTCGGCACGTGATGAAACTTTCGACAAATTCAAACCAATGAAAGTTTGTTCTATTCGTTGTTTGCGATACCTAAAACATAGTACCTTTCTGCACGATACAAGATCTTTGCATTATACCTTTTGGTTTATATGCAGATGCCGACAAGTATAAATGAAGGGATATCTAAACATGGTAGAGACGCGGGTATGATTTAAATCCCTTCTACTGTTGTCCGTTTATAAAAGGCTGTAATACCTTTCCGTTTTAAATTGCAGCTTGGCAACACACAAGACATGTAAGGTAGTTTTCTAGAAGAGCATAATTATGCTGAAGATTTTTCAACATTTAACTACATCCTGGTTTTCCTCAGTGCGTCACTATTTTTCAAATCATGTCCCGTATAATATGTTCTCCTTCTATTGCTAACCTTACTGTATCTCCCGCGTATGCTAGGGACCGCATTCTTTCCTACTGCAATTTTTCTTTTTTTCACCCACCCCAAACGTGTCACAAAAAACGTCTTTTACGCAACTACTTCATGGTCCTGTTTGTGACTTATAATCATTCCCTAGCGCCTCCCCTTTCCTGAATCTTTTTCCATCCTTTCTCTTGATATCTTTTCCTTTTCCCTCTCTTCTTATTTCGCGTCATGTCACCCTCTTCCTGGATTATTTCTTTTCTATTTTGTTTTCCTATCTCCTATGTCCATTTTTTCGCACTCTCTTTTTTCTATTTATTTTGATTCCTTTAGTTCGTTTTCTTGCTCCTTCTCATGTAGGTATATCTTTTTCCATCTTTGTTATGCATCAATTTCCACCGTACAAATCCATTTCCCACTATTCTCACATTTTTCCTCCTTTCTCTTTTTCCCTTTTAGAACTATTTCCACCGACTGGTGCTCTGATTTCGTCATCATGCCTACCGTGAATTCTTTTACTTCCTTCATGACATTCTTATTTACTATAATGTAATCTATTAGCGATCTCCGCCTTCACCCCATGTAGGTATATGTGGAAGTATTTTTGCCCTCTTTCGTTTATTATTATACACCCTATCAAGGTTAGTTCTCATAACAATTTTCTTCATCACATTTCTATATCTTTTTTGTTGTAAATAGCTATTACTGTCATTTTTTTCCTCTACCTTTTTCTTCTGTATCCTCGCCTATTTCTTCTCCCTACTGTTTAATCGATTGTTGTACTCCTGTTATTGTACCACCTTTCGATCGTACCTACTTTTTCTATCTCCGCGAATGCGTTTATCCGTGTGAACCCTTTGGCATCCTATGTTCACATTATTTTACAAAATCCTAGAGATAGAACCCCCTCTGTATTACTGAAAATAATATCCCCTCTTTCTCGTTTCATCTGTTTCCTTTGGTATTACTTTTTCCTGCCAAATCCCGCCTTTTTCCTCTTATATCACATAATGAAAAATACATCTTTGAAATTTACATTTTCCCCCTAAATTAAGACTCAAATCTACCAGACTTAATAGAAAATCTACTAACTTGGCAACCCTGCGCATGTGCCCTAGTAGATAGGGGCCACCTATGCGAGACTGTCACGTGACGCACCCCACGTGCGCTTTTGGTGTTTGCGTCGTCTTGGCATCTGACCTTCGGCCAGTTCGATCAGTACTATTTTGGTAGTTGGCCTGGGGTTCGAATCATATTTTTGGGATTGGTTTAGGGTAGCTCTTATATCCGCAGTGTTATTTATAGAAGAATAGTATAACAACCCGATCCTTTGAGCTTGAGGTCAGTGCATGCGTCAAGTTCAAAGACATTCAATTCAGAACTGTTTATCAACTGAAACAGAATTGTTTATCACAAACAGGTCGGTTAAACGAACCTGATTCTGTAAAACGGGCTTATTTCTACTGAACAGAGCTCTTTCTATAGATCTGACCTGTTAACAGAATCAGGTTCGTTTAACCGACCTGTTTGTGATAAACAGTTCTGTTTCAGTTGATAAACAGATCTGAATCGAATGCGCAGATCTCAAAGTGAAAGTGCCAGGATTGGTGTTGTTATACTACGATTCTATCAATAACAGCGCGGAAATATGAGCTACCCTAAACCGGCCCAAAAATACGATTCGCACTCCAGGCCAACAACCAAAATACTTTTGACCTAACTGTCTCGCATTGGTGGCTCCCTACCCACTTGCTCTGTTCCCATCAATCCTTTTTTTTTCTTTACTAGGTCGAAATTCCTTATCTTCCGCACCATTAATTTTTCATTTCCTTTCCTCTTACGAGATTGTCTGATTTAACCCTCCGTTAGTGCGGTCTCCAAATATATCTTCACGAGTGTGGTTGGGTCTCACAGACCCTATATCGATCTTGGCTTTAAAAATTATTTATTTACCTATTTAAACCAAGGCAATTTTCGGAAAAAACTTTTATTTTGACTTACTGCAATTACATAAAAAACTAGTAAATGTACTCGAGTTCTTACATAAACATTTCTTCGAGCGTGCCACTTCGTTTTATTGTCCTTTCTTAAATGAAATCTCTTCGCAGGCTTACTGCTACTGTCTTCTATTTTCATTTCCCGTATCTTGCATATCCTCTTCATTTTCTAGGTGCCCGTCCTCTTCATCGTCTTCAAAATCCTCTGAATAGGCACTATCTTGATTATTATCCTCTTCATTTTCTAGGTCATTCTCCTCTTCATCTCCCTCTAACACAAGCAAAACTATTTAAACTGCACCACACGAGACTTCATGTACTGAGCAGCTACTAAGCGGATCAGATGCATGCCCGTTGTATTTGATGAAAAAATTGTGCCGATATCTCGGCATGGGTCTTACAGACCCGACCGCACTAACGGAGGGTTAAGGATCTTGTACCTGCTATGCTAAAAACGTAGAACCATTCCTCATCTTCTTCCTATCTTCAATCATAAATTCATAATCGCCTGGGAAAGAATCTCAACGGCATTCGCTCCATGTACAACGTTTTAAAATTTTTGTTCCACAATCAGGATCTGTCTTCTTTCTGTATTTATTTCGTGTTATCGTTATTTTGAGATATGGATCAATGCTTCTTTTGAAACTCATCCCATTAAACGAAATTACCTCTCATTTTTGTCGTACGTATTATGTGAGTGGATCAGCTGAAGACGAAAAGTTACAAAAGTATAGCGTTGAAATCAACTAATTATTTTCACGAAACAACAAACATCCGGAACTTTAGAATCGTCATAATTTCGAAACTTTATACGGATCGACCAAATGTTCATCTATAATATGTACCAAACAGCGCAATGCGGACCTACATAAACGACATTACCTTATAGAAAAGTGAGTCAGTAAGTGTTTTAAACCTTTTTATCCCCAGTAGGATATTGAATAATTAATGTATAACACTGATAACTATCCCTTTTCAATATCAGCGATGAGTTTTACAATGAGGACCAATAATCCTCAGTAGATCTTTTGACTCAAACTAAGAATCGAATGCAATTTGTTATTGAATATACCCTTGCAGGCGATAATATATGCAATCACTTTGCTTCATTTGACTGGAAGTTAATTATATTCGCGTCCAGTCCGAATATATTATCTTGATTATTTACCATGTAGTCCGCTCCCAGCGCTACTCTGCGTGCACCATAATAAACTAAGACTTACTAAGAAAGCAAACTTACTCCCTTTTCCCCTTACCACGTCTAAGCGGCCACCGCCGGAAACCCGTTACTCATTCGTTTTTGGTGCACTCTGCTGTGCGGTCGTTTCTTCCGTGCCTACGTACTGTACTCCGTTGTTTTGCAGCGTCAACTGGTTCTTTTTGTTTTTTTCCATTTACTCAGCGGTTCGTAGTTTTTTAGACTACGATTACGTAAGTAATTTATTATTTAATCTATTATTTAACACAGGACAATGGGTAAACATAAAAGAGACAGATCTAGGAGTAGATCGTCGACTAAGCGTTCTTTTAACAAAGAAATTAGAGATCTCAAGAGGAAATTGGATAAGTTGGAAAAGGAGAGAGACAGGGCTAAAAGAGATTTTTCCCGCTTCCGCGAAAGTTGTTCTCGTAATGAAACAATTTCACGAGGGAATAGAGAATGCCGTTCTCCGAGTGAGTCGGATTCTTCAAGGCGGCGGCGGCGGCGCTCCAGGTCCCAACGTCGTTCTCCCAGTGAGACGAGTTTGAATCCCGGGCGCGACACTCAAGGTCGCCGTGAAGGTCGTTCTTCGAGTAAGGCGACTTCTACAAAGCTTCCCTTTCGAAGGGAACAAGAAAGCCGCAGCCCCAGCGTCGCTCTCTCTCTCTTTACTCGTACTGACACGAGTCGCGCAGCTAATAGCGCAACTATCGATTTCGTTGGACCTGGCGGCCGTCACTCGAGTAGTGCGGCGCTTGTGGCTAGTTCTGCTGATTTTTCTCCCCGAAAAGAGGAGTCTCCTGCTCTAATCTTGCTTGATGATGCGGGCATCTCTGAAGAAATTCGACTTATTTTGGGTCCCGATCCAAACCAGCAGAAAAAGTCAACATTTAATTTACACAAGGCTGTAGAGCCAATTTGGACTCATATTTTAGGTTTTGGCCTTCCTAAAGAAGAGTGTGATGAGCTCTTCAAAAAATACGAGCTCCCTATCAATTGTAAGTTTCTTACACCCCCTCGTATTAACCCAGAGGTCGAGGCCAACTTGAATACGCTTCATTCTACCAGGGACCAAACGCATTCACAATACCAATTTCGGCTGAGCAAGGCTTTAGCTGCCCTGGGCATTTCTTTGAATGTGATTTTGGAGGAGGAGGAGAATATTCCTAGAGCTTCCAAGGATAGAATTTTATCAAGTATCGCGGATTCTGGACGCTTGCTTTGTAGCCTTTTCAACGATATTTCCCTTAAGCGACGTCAACTTATTCTTCCTCTCATGAATAAACATATCAAGACTTTAGTGGAACAAATCCCTCCTGGAGATTTTTTATTCGGGCCCGATTTAGGCGACAAGATCCAAGCCATTAAGACTATGGAAAAGGTCGGAAAGGAGATTCGTGTACCCCAGCCCCCCTACAACAGATACCAACAGAATTCAGTTGCGTTTCAGAAAAAGAAGGGAGGGGGGGCAGAGAAGTCACATACAGCTACTAGTGGTCAGTTAAACCGGAGACGCCCGACCTACCGAAAGAGAGAGGCAAGGTCACAGAAAGGGCGACTCTCGATGCCCCAAAAATCATCAATACATCAGAAATACCGTTAATGGTAGGTAATAATTTGTTTTTAGCAGGCCGTCTGCAGTTTTTTAAAAATGTCTGGAAAACAGTGACCTCAAATCCCACAGTCTTGTCTTGGGTTGAAGGTTATAAAATACCTTTTTCCAAGACCCCTCCATTTTCGGATGGTCCAATTAAACATAGTTTTTCCGCCAGCGAAATTATCCTTTTGGACGCGGCCATCAAAGAGCTTCTAACCTTAGGAGCCGTTTCAAAATGTACTAGTTTACCGGACCATTTTGTTTCGCCAATCTTTTTAACAGAAAAATCTAACGGAAAAATGCGGTTTATTTTGAATCTTAAGAAACTAAATGTCCATGTTGTTGCTCCTCATTTTAAATTGGAGGATCACAGAACGGCTCAAGGGTTATTAAGAACAGGTTTATTCATGACAACGGTCGACCTCAAAGACGCTTATTTCTCCATCCCGATTCATCTAGATTATCGCAAATATTTAAGGTTTAGATTTGATAATCAATTGTACGAATTCACATGCGTCCCTTTTGGACTTTCAGTGGCGCCTTACTGTTTCACGAAACTGATGAAACCAGTAACGTCTACTTTACGTCAACAGGGCATCCTATGTGTTAACTATCTGGATGATTTTTTCATTCTTGGGGATTCTTTCAAACAATGTTCGGATAACACACATTTGCTGGTCGCTCTGTTGGAGTCTTTGGGTTTCTTTGTCAATAAGGAAAATAGTTCTCTAACCCCCAGCAGATCGCAAAGATTTTTAGGCTTCATTTTTAATAGCACCGATATGAAAATTAGCCTTCCATTAGAAAAGAAGCTAAATATTAAAAATTGGGCTTCACTTTTTAAGAAAACTTCCACATGCAAAATTCGAGAATTTGCAAGGTTTATTGGTTTCCTAGTTGCAGCTTGTCCAGCTGTTAAATACGGCTGGCTCCATACTAAATCTTTGGAGCGACAAAAATTCTTAGCTCTCTCTCAAAATGGCGGTGACTTTGGTGCGTCAATGTCTATTCCACTTTCCTTACTTCCGGATCTTCACTGGTGGGAAGAAATGATTTTAAACTCATTTAATAACATTAGAAACGACGTTTTTATTACTGAGATTTTTACTGACGCTTCCTTGTCAGGTTGGGGAGCATGTTGCGGCTCTGAGAAAACTCACGGCTTTTGGTCCGAATCAGAAAAGACACTTCATATAAACCTTTTAGAACTGAAGGCTGTTTTTTACGGTCTAAGATGTTTTGCAAATCTTCTTTCTAACTGTAATATTCTTCTACGATGCGACAACACCACCGCCATAGCTTACATTAACCGTATGGGCAGCGTTCGATTTCCAAAGCTCTCCAAGTTAACGAGAGAGATTTGGCAGTGGGCGAAGTTAGGAATATTTGGATTTTTGCATCGTATATAAGCTCTGCAGACAATTTTGTAGCGGATCAAGAGTCCCGACAGATTTTCTCTGAAAATGAATGGTCATTGTCCCAAGAAGCTTTTTACCTTATAACCGACAATTTGGGAAAACCTGAGGTTGATCTTTTTGCTTCACATATTAGTAACAAATGCGATAAATACGTTTCTTGGCATAAAGACCCAGGATCCTTTGCTGTTGATGCATTTACCTTGAACTGGAAAGACTTAAATTTTTATGCGTTTCCTCCTTTTAACTTAGTTCTAAGGAGCCTACAAAAGATAATCCAAGACAAGGCCGAGGGCATGTTAGTGGTTCCCTTTTGGCCCTCTCAGGCCTGGTATCCACTCTTTTCCAGACTAATAATAGGGAAAAAGTTATATCTAAACCCTGCCCCTAATTTGTTGTCTTTGCCTTCTAGCAGCAATCATCCTCTAGCCTACCAACTTTCCCTGGTGGCCGCCAGATTATCCGGGAGTCTTTTTTAAGAAAAGGTGTCCCGGAGATTGCAGTGGAAACCACGATGGCGTCGATCGCGGAATCTACATTTAAACAATATAATTCAACCTACCGCCTTTGGTGGGCCTTTTGTCTGGCAGAGAAGACCCCAGTGTTTCAACCTTCGATCAAGGAGGTGGTGACCTTTCTACAAACAACTTCGGAGAAGCATAATACCAAATACGGAACTATTAATTGCCATAGATCGGCACTAAGCCTTATTTTAAATCAGGATCTAGGTTCAGATCCGATCATTAAAAGATTCATGAAAGGAATGTCTCGTTTAAGGCCTTCTCAACCAAGATATTCAAACACATGGGATCCTCAGTTGCTGCTGTCGTATTTCGAAGGTTTACCGAAGGAATTGAGCCTCCGAATGCTCTCTCAAAAGTTAATTACTCTATTGGCGCTTATTACTGGAGGTCGGCTTCAAACTCTTTCCCTGATTAGGCTCTCAAATATAAGTGAAAGTCAGGAGGAAATCCAGATTAATATCACGGATCCAATAAAAACATCAGGACTTAATAAGGAACAGCCCACGCTTCATATTCCGTTCTACAGTGAAAAGCCCAGTCTTTGCGTAGCGTCAACTTTAAAGAAGTATCTCGCAACAACAAAGCCCCTTAGAGCACCGAATCAAGACTTTTTGTTCGTCACAACTAAGAGACCTCATTCCACTGCATCTAAACAAACATTAAGCAAATGGGTTAAGCATGCCTTAGGCTCAGCTGGCATTGATACTTCAAGATTCAAACCTCATTCTACGAGGCACTCCTCTTCTTCAGCTGCTTTAAGACAAGGGGTTTCTTTAGAATCAATATGTAGAACCGTAGGATGGTCAGAGCAAACAGGGACGTTCGCTAAGTTCTACAATCGACCCCTTGGCGATAAAACTGCTTTTGCCAATGCAATCTTAAGGTTATCCAAACGACCTTGAATTATGTATAAGTGTATCTACATACATTTAATTTATACTTACCTAAGCTTTACGAAGTTATTAACTTCGATTTGTTACGTTTTCCATTTAAAGTTTTTTTTTTCTAGAATTACTTTATTAGTTAGTTTTCTGTAACAATGTATCTTTATAATACATTTTTTTTCACAAGATTACCTGTGTGGGGTGTTCATCTATTCGCAACTATTTTTCTTTGAACATCTACATGGTAAATAATCAAGATAATATATTCGGACTGGACGCGAATATAATTATACGATTAAACGAACTTACTAAGTGAAGTTCGATCGTAATTATATGAGGCGTCCAGTCCGAATATATTATCTTCCCGCCCTCCCGTTCGAAAGTACCCCAAGTTGCTCATAGTAAACACTTCTTTAAAGAATGAGTAACGGGTTTCCGGCGGTGGCCGCTTAGACGTGGTAAGGGGAAAAGGGAGTAAGTTTGCTTTCTTAGTTTATTATGGTGCACGCAGAGTAGCGCTGGAAGCGGACTACATGGTAAATAATCAAGATAATATATTCGGACTGGACGCCTCATATAATTACGATCGAACTTCACTTAGGTAAGTTCGTTTAATCGTATAATTAAATGCGATCAGCATTTAATCTATTTACAACTGTTTGAACGAAAGATTCGGCTAACACATCATCACACACAATTGAAACTAAGCAGAGCGTCACGTTATATTCTAAATGAACATTTCTACGGTATAGAATGCATATATCTCGGAAAGTACAATATTTCTTAATTATAGAATATCATTCACTCTTATCTGCCACTAGGAGTATTAATAGGAAATGGTGAATGTAATAATGTGATTAGCGAAGTATATACAATGATACCGATATGCATGTGCCGTAATAGTCGCAATTTGCACTTTAGTCTGTTATTGCATTATTTTAATTACTTATGTAATGGTGAAATCGGCACGTGCATCCATTATACTTACCAATAAAAGTGGAACGGAAATATTTTGTAATGATTCCCAATTATACGGCAACTGACAACCATTAACCACAAAAGACCCATAGTTGGTGTTTAACGCAAACGAGAATTTTCTGCCACAAAATGGAATTGCTTCATACACACCACGCTTGGAGGTGCTTTCGACTTCCCAATTTTTCATTTTCTGTTACGAATTTAAATTTCGCAGAGCTCAGCTTTATAAGACCAATGGTGGGAAAATACAATTGCGTTTCGAGACAGTCGACAAACAGACACGTGGAGAGACTTAACTCTGACTTTACGACATATTTCTAAAAATCTATTTTTGTGCAACCCCTCTAGCCATCTAATTTTATGGTATTCAAGTAAAACTTTTAATTTAAAACATGTGATAACATAACTTTACCACAATGAATACTGATTGCGGCCAACATGACTGAAATTGCCGCAGTTTATATTTAGATAATGTTAATATACACACTAGGGGTTGTTTCCGTGAGAAAGCTCTCAAAACTCAAGGCGATATTAAACTCTAACCATAAAATAGTAATAACAGTACGTTCTTACTTATAATAGGAGTTGTTTGATTTTAATTGATTTGGGGCCGATGGCTAAAGTGAACGTTGATTGTCAGAATTTTTCGTATATCGGTCCGTCACTCAGTTTCAGAATAAAAAGTATTTTTTGCAATGAAACTGAGTTCTGTTTAGTCATTTTAAATAAGGTAGATTTAGACAGAATTTTAGAATTAAATTAAGTTTGACCTCTTAAATTTTTGTTCTACGTGTCGTTGCTAAGGGTCGTCTATTCGCTATTGTCGTTGTTATGCAGCCCTTGTTGGCTGTGTTAATTTTTCAAAGAATAAGGGGGATTCGTATTTAAAAGATCATTTTCGCCACTTTCGAGGCCGAAATGCCGTTCGTTTAATAGAAGCTGCTTTCCAGATTGAAGGTCAAGTTACGGTCCGTCTGAAATTTGCCTTTTACCGAGGTCCAACCGCTATTGCCGTGCCTGCACCTTTTACAAAATTTTGTTTGGTCGTTTAAAGCGTTGGAGCTCAAGTGGTGGAGACAAGACAGGACAAGCAGTGAACTGAGTCAAAGTTTGCAAATTCCTTGTTTCCCAGAAACTATCTCCAGTTTAGGAAACATGTACAAGAAACTCTTATGTCGCTGGCAATTATTTTGATTATATGTTGTAACGAGAGCATTTTATTGAGTTACATTTTTTTGCGAATTTTCGCCTTTGAATTACGCGGAAGTAAAATTTTTCAGTTGTAAAAGTATCAAGGATTTGAAAACACTCCCCCAAAAAATATTGTTCATTGTAGTTTCAAGTGTTTATTTTGTCGATTATATAAGTGAGCGTTCTTCAATCTTCTTCATCAATGGGTTGATTGTTCTAAGCCGTAGTTGTCGCCTCATGATGTGGATTTGGTTTAGAATTACACTCTGTAAATTAATTGTCTTTTGTTACTTCTAGGATTCAGCTAATTGGGAAATTTGCTGATTCTGCAAAAAATCTGAAAGCCAGTCCCAGCCCTAAAAGCCGATTGGTAGCGTAAAAGGGAGATACCAAGATAACCACGGCCATTCACAGTTCGGCATTGTTGTGGGCG